CTCGTATCGCTGAAGTTTCTCGGAAAGAATTTCTACGGGAAATTAACAAACAAGCAGATACGTAACAAAGCAAAAAAATGACGTAACTACAACAAGGTAATCTAAACGACTGTGTGCACAACGTATTGTCGTTAGTACAGCAGAGAAACTAAATATCAAAAATTGTAAAATTTTCTATATCATCAAAGCGGGTAGAAAACATACTATATGCCCGAATACACATACATACATACGTGAGAAATATAGTAAAATATGACATTTCTACGTTGAAAATTACCGCTATATTAAGCGAATTCATATTCAACCCTCTCTCCCCAGTAGCACAGCGGTATGTCTGCGGACTTTTACTGTTAGAAACCGGGTTTCGATACTAGTGGTAGGAGAGTACAGATAGCCCTTTGTGTTTGTTAACAAACAACAACAAATTCAATTTTTTTTAAAAGTAATAAACTCTCACAAGTTTACAGCCAGTCGCCCTGAGCATTATTCTGTAAAAAAAAAAGCTATACTAACAGAGTATTACCAAATTAATAAAAAATATATAATACGCTATTTAGAAATACACGAGCTAATTTCTAGTATAAGGTTCGTCAACCATTGGCTCCGTCGATTCAGACAACTCAACATTGCAATTACGAATTAATTTAATTAACTTTTATCGAAGCCTGAATTTTCAAACAAATTCATTGTTAATTTTGTTCCGCATATTTAATTTTTTACAGTATACTATTAGTAACTATAATTTTTCTTTCACATTCCGATCTCGTAATGATTATTGAAGCCAGCGTAATGCTATTCCAAGTTATTCAATCTTCTGTTACATGTGTTTTATTCAGTATTGCCTTTTTTATATAATATTTTAATTTGTCTTAAATTACGTCTAATATTTGAGAAGTTATTAAAATGAACTAATTGGCTACGTATACTACAAGTGAAAAAACCCGATATTTAGCATTATAACCCTCAGACTTGTTGCTGAGCCACCAGGGGGCAAAGCAAATATAATCGTCCAGATGTTTATGTTAGCAATATTATAAACGCCCTCTATGGTAATGATGGCGGCGACAGCCACTGCTCTAGACATAGAAGATGAGCTTTTTGAGGATGATACTTTGAATTCTTTTTTATCTTTTCCACCCGAAGTCCAAAGTGCAATAGAACACGTAAGTGTGACCAAGTAAATTGTTTCCATAATTTTTAAATTTTGTGATGTTCTTCGTGCTATTGACCAGCGCAGTATACAGCTTCGTTTTTCTGTAATCCAGTTAGGTGTAATTACTAGTATTACTAACGCTTGGTGCCATCAGGTGGTCATCCTAGTACATTAAAAAGGAATTGTATGTAATTATTGTAGGGGCTGCTACTTCATCTTGTTTGTATTTGTGTTCTTCGCTGGAAGTAATGTTACACTTATGATGTATGTGAGCAAATTTTTTTATCCCCCAATCAGGTTTCATCTCTGTAAATAATAATACATTTTTATATAGTTTAAATGGACTGAGCAAGTCTCTATTTCATTACATTTTCTTACAAGGAAGTCAGTTTACATTTCATATTCATGCTTCAGCTTAATGTCTTGATTGTATTTATGTAGTGAGTAATCTTGAAAAGTTATGCCAGAAAGTCATTTATCACCATAGCTTTTCTCGTTGTAACTGTCTTATGCTTGTACATGTATCTTGTCAGCTGAACCATGATTGGATTAAACAACCCTGCATGTGAATTGTTTTTCATAGCACACTAATAATGCCCTTAAAAATGTAATATTTGCTTTTCTAGGAGGCATTTTGGTTAATTAATCCAGCATATTTTTCCATACACATCTCCAGCAAATTAAATGTGATATAGCCTATTCTGAAACCAAGATTTGATTAAGTAATCCACTGTTATCAGTTAAAATTACCTGTCAAGAAATATTCTGGAAAACTGTTGAAATTAATATTATTTTTTTAAACATGTAACATGCCTTATTTCAGATATATACACTTAATTTTTGAATTAAGATCTAAAATAAAAAAATGTACTTTTTGTTCGTTTTCTTTTTTCTGTTGATATTTTGCAAAGAAAATAATTATGTTTCAATTTTGTGTAAAAACATTTGATAGCCATGTTTACATCTAGAATACATGGAGTGCCAAGAAAGTCACTCATTGTTTATGTAAAGTAGTAAATTTGTAAATTATTTTTATTTTTAAAATATGAGGAATGGGGGGAATATGATTTTAGGGAAGGGGTGCAGTTTTAATACTGTTACTGGTTTATATTTCATTCTAATTCATAAGACATGCCAAAACTTTCAAATAATGAATTTAGACTATTTATCTTTTTTTTTTTCAGACTAATTGAAGTAAGAATTTTTGAAACAACATATTATTTAATGATTTGTAAACTTAGAATTTAGGCATTTAGTAGTAAAGTTACAGAAAAAAAACAACAACCTAGGAGTGAGATCCAACTTTTATTCTATTAAAAGGATTTGGTAAATCTCTGAGAATTTGTCATGAACATATGTAGTATAGCTTAGGATTATTTGTTGTGTTCTTAATGGATCTAAACTCAAACAAACATCAACTGAATTTTAGACACTCAAACCAACGTGGTATGTTACTAGTTGTCTCTTGTTGTGGGTTCAGTTGTCACTCAAAAAAATTGTTTCAGGTTTTACCAAGCTCGGATCCACTTGATCGACCAGACTTTAATGCTGTAGATTACATCAACACGCTATTTCCTACAGAGCAGTCTCTCTCTAATATTGACGATGTGATAGGTCGAATGAGGTTTAAAATAAGGTATGATAGAGTAAACCACTTTCTTAAACTTTTGTGTTGCAGTTGTTCCGAGCAAGAAGAATGAAACATGTTAGCTAGAAATGTAGTTTTCATTAAGAGGATTAAACCTTCTGAAACTGGAATACCATTGTTCAAAATGTTTTTTTAAAGTACGTTTCCTAACTCAGTACTATATATTTACTGTAATGCAAGTTAAATACTAAATTGTTTTCAAGTGAATGACACAGATAATTAAAAATTAGTAGAATAAGTATTAAAAATATAATTAATTATAAGTTAGGTGTAATGAAACCTGTTCTTCAGAAGTGATTACAAGATTGGTTAGGTGATCTTTAAAATAAAATAAAGCAAATTACATTTCAGCAGTGATGATATTCTTGGTTTGATGATGTTTAAAATAAGGTACAGTGAGAACAAGATAATTGGTTTAAAGTAATCAGCATTGTGATTGGTTTAAAGTAATCAGCATTGTGATTGGTTTATAGTAATAAGTACTGTGATTGGCTTAAAGAAACCTAAGTCAAAGAATAATCAAATAAACTTAAGGATTTATTATTGAACTAGTTGTAAGATAGAAGATTTAAATAATACAACAAATAAGGTTGAAAAAATAGTAAACAATATGTACTAGTAAAAAAAAACCTGTTAAAATTGAAAACTAAAATTATGTAATTTTTCTCAGTTGATTAATGACTATCATATGTTGCTTATTTCTTCAAGGTAGCTTCTCATTGGTTTACAAATTTAGCTACTTTAAAACAAAAATCTAAGCACCTATTAGTGACTTCTATTTCTAACTTAAAAAGTATGGATACATAAATGTTTGTGATAAAAAAAATCATAGAATGTGTTAAAATTTTATTTAATGTTTTAACTGCATACACTGTGATTTTTTTTCATTTAAATTTTTTTTTTTGTGTTAGTAAAAATTAACCATTTTTTGAAGTCTACAATATATAACATTATTAGAGTACTTTTTGTTTATTTAGATTTTAGGAAAGTATCATTTACGTATTAAAAATAAGAGTAGAGAACTGAAAACTTGTATTTATATGCATATAAAATAATCTATGATTTTTTTAAGAATTCGAATGATATCATTGTTTCCTATTCACTATCTGTCTATCTCGCATAATGAAGTTTTTGGGGACAACTCTAATTTTCTATAGTGTTCTTTTCACATCCTACAAGTAATGAATCTTTTAGTATTTGTTGAAAACAGACAGCTGGATGATGAAATCAGAATTGTCGTCAGAGGACAGACTAGTGTTGGCGAGAGTGGACGAGAGGCTCTGGAAGAAGCACAGACAGCAATTAAGGAACTGTTCTCCAGAATAAAGGATATTAAAGATAAAGCAGAAAAGTCAGAACAGATGGTATATGTTTTATGTCTCAAAATGTTTTTCATTTCTTAACAAATCTTTAAAGCAACTGACTAAGTAGAAGATATATTTTTACATCCACTATTCTAGCTCTTTAATCGATTTGATTGTATCACTAAAGTCTCCAATATGTCTACTACAGTGGATTACGTTGTGAGTTTAATAGTAAGGCTTACGAACATTTTGTCAGCATTTTCACATTTAACTGCTAATGCTAAATAAAAATGTTGACGGTTTTATGTATACGACATGTACACACCCATACACGTGTGTGTGTATATATTGCATATATTTTAACTTGGGTTTCCAATTTGAAGTATTTTTATGCTACGTATTTGTACAGGTTAAATACAATTTTAAGTTGTTGTTTTTTTTCTTTCAAAGGTGAAGGAAATTACAAGAGACATCAAACAGTTAGATCACGCAAAACGGAACTTAACAGCTTCGATAACAACTTTGAATCACTTGCACATATTAGTGGAAGGAGTGGATACTTTACGGTAAGTTCAAATTAAGAGATGTACGCCTAAAGAAACACTTTAGAGGAAAGATTGTTTTTGTATAAAGACTTAACGTTTTGGAAGTAATAGCTAGTTGGTGTGATACAAATGTTAGAGTAGTTTATTTGTGTCAGTAAGATAGCCTATCCGTTATTATCGTTATTTTAGTGAGCATTCTGAACCTTTAAATGGTTTATATAGTTTTCTTTCTTTTGTGTTGTGTGTCTGTTGAAACCTTTCAGTTCATGTTCTAAACAAGAAACACTGAAGGTTTCTAGGCCACCAGTAATCTTTGTGCTACATTAATAAATTATGTTTAGGCTTAGAATATGGTTTTTTAAAAGCCAAAGATATTGAAGGACATTTTATCAGTAAGATGGTGTACAAGATGGTTTTAAGGGTCCAGAATACAGTTCTGTCAACAGACACAATATGCTTCTGCACAAGTTATGTGTGGTTTTAAGGGCCTAGAATATAGTTCTGTCAACTGACACTTTGCCAATAAGCTACTGTACAAGTCACGTATTTGGTTTTCATGGCATTAGTAAGACGTTATCTTTTATATTTTTGTCAACTTTAGAATAACTTATTATAAACTTGTTTTACATTTTGTCAGGTTCTTATACTTTCTTTAATGATTCAAGCATTGTGTTAAAATGCATCATGACAGTTTAACTGTATGTGTATAGAAGGGTTAAAGTACATGTGTCATGACCTTTTTACAGGGTTACATTCAAAATTTTACTAAACAACTTTATTATCAGTGTATGTTATTAAGCTTGGCATCAAAATGTAGTTTATAATTCAAAGTTTTATACTGTCTAAGTTTTAATTTCTAGAGGAAATGTTTAGATAAATTTTGTTCTTGACTCTTTTGTATCTTGACATGAATGTGCTCCGAATTGCCCTTTTATATTTTCTTTCCATTCTTCTATGATGCCCCAAGAGCCTTAACAATTACACACTTATATTATAGATATTGACAAGCTGGAATATTTGGCCTTAGTTTAATTTTTGCGATTGCGTTTTTCTACTATGAGCAGGAAAGAAAATGTTTGAACCTATTTATTGTTTATGTAGAAAGCGATTTAAACATTAGTTGTTTTAGGATATACTGTCCGATATATGTTTTGTGTTCAAAAATGTATATTTGAAGAACTAACTTAGTGAAAACAAATTAGGCCTAGCTCAGTTATGCTTGCAGTGTTTATGAACTGTGGCTAATTACTTCCTGCTGTGTTTATTGTTTTTGATGGGAGGACTAGTACTTAGTACAGCAACCAGAAAGATACATTTACAGAAAATAGATGTGAGAAGGGTAACAGTTAAAACTTTGAAGATAAGAAGTACGTGAGGTAAAGGAATTTATGCATCACAAGACGGAAAAGAAATGTTAATTTTATTTCATATTTTTCAACTTTTAATTTCAGAGTACATTAATCACGGTTGATAATTTTGTTGCCATTAGTGTTAGGTTAGATAAATAGCTGATAGAATATTAAGTTTTATCAAAAAAAAAACATTTGATATTCACTTAGGAAGTTCTAGACGTTATGCAAATGAAATATAAAAACTGTAAAATAAAAAGGATTTTTATTCTTAACATGAAAGTCACCTTACACTCAGACTTCTCAGTGTCTGAGTCAGACTGACTCGTTAAATTCGCAGACAAAACTTTAGTAAGAATACTTTTTTTATAAATTATGATTTTTGTGTGCAACAGTATTTTCACTGAAAGCTTTGAAATTTCATGAAGGTAAAAATATTAACTTCAGAATTATAGTAAACGGTAGTTCTCTAATATGGTGATGATCCAAATGACTACCTGTGCACATAGAGTTAAGGCGGGACTCGGGTAGCAGTCGAAGTGTACAAATGTTGAAAAATGTATCACTTGGACAAAAAAACACTATTTTTTGTATATTGTGCTGGTACTTGGACTTAAATATAGGCTCAACTTTAATTTTTTTCTAAATATATCATATTAGTAAAATTTTGAAGCATGAGTAGCAGAAAAAAAATCTTTGACGATACTGTTTTATTCATTTATCTAAATCTCTTTGTTGCTAAAGGACAAGAAGAAAAAAAAAAGTACTTACATTCTGTACGTGGTTTCCTCGGGAGTGGTGATAAAAGATTTTTTTTTTGCTTGGAATGTACAAAAATTAAAAATGAGCGTGTGATTTATAAGAACAACATTTCATGCTCGTCATGCTAATTTTCAGCTTCTGCACAGTATTCTAGTGGTTCGATGTTCCTTAACATCTTTTCAAACAATTAGGTCACGGGTTAAAAGTAATGACATTATTAACATTTCTATCTATCTGTAGGATTCACTCTCGGAAAAGACAGTACAAAGAAGTTGCTAACCTCTTGGATGGAGTTATGAATGTCCTTGACCACTTTCAGCCATACATGGGGATCCCTCAAATTCACCAACTGGCTGACCAGTAAGCATAAATGCTATGACGTTAGAAAAATTCTAATGGTTACATAAACTAGTTGAACCAGAGAAGTGAAATGTACAGTCTTTAAAAATATGAAGTCTGTCGGCTGTTTCTCAAGCTATAAAGTATCTTGTATATTAAGTATTGATCTTGACAGATTACTAGAAAGGAACAAGTGGTGGAGCTGGTGAAAAGGTCATAGATATGACCTTTATACTATGACACTTTATACATATATAGTGTATTATATCAAAAAGATTTATCTGATTACAAGATGCTAGATGCTGTTTTGTTGTGTTCTCACACTTTGTTTTTAAATGTGACTGCTGTGCTCCAACTACGAAAACCTTAATTATACCTAATGATTCTCAATGTTTCTGAAAGTTGTCTTAGATAATTGAATAATTAGAGTTGTTAAAACATTTGTTTAACAACAAGTTAAAGCTTGGAATGGTCTATTCTTT